GCCTTATCTGCAATACAAAACAGACAGATTGTAAATTTCACAGCCCAGGGGAGAAATGAATTTTTGTTTTATGGTTCGAAGCCAACGAAATGAAGCCAGAGCTGTCTTTGTTTAGTAATTCCAATCCTAACCTTGTATCTCCGGTGCTCATCTGCCCTCTGCCGGTCTTCTTCAACCAAAGTGATGAGCTCCTCCATCTTCTCCGAAGAGTACACGGCAATCTTAGGCACTAGGTCGGTGTTGATGCTTGCTGCCTTGAAATCGATCCACTCGAGGCAGAAAAGATGTAAATTTTCAAGAGAACAAGAATGTGTTCATGCAAAACAGCCAACATTTCATGAAAATACATTAATTTTTTTAAATCTGTAAAGCTGTTAACCTGAAGCAGAAGATTCCACCTCGCCTAAATTTCCTTTGCATTTTCAAGACGGCTGATTTTGTTGAATTCTTCGGGGCACAATCCGTTGAAGAGAATATCACAAGCTTGAGCATTGTATTGCAACATCTTCAACTCATCCGCGGTAGCTTTACGGTTTGGTTCTCTCCCATCAAAGAAGTCACCTTGCAAACCAACACACACAATAGCCCAAACGGCGGGGTTATGTTCAAGAATATGCATTTTCATTTTATGCTTTCAACTAGCAAAATTAGTACCATCAAAGTAGGGACCTCTACGGTGATAATTTCCCTCGCTAGACGCCATACTCTCCTAGGTTGTGAAACCAATGCTATGACCACCAAAAGCTATGGAGATCAAAGCAAATGGAGACCAAAGCTTTGATACCACTTTTAGGATCGAAAGTATGTCTAGAGGGGGGTGATTAGACTACTTGACCAAATAAAAATTTAACCTTTTCTCAATTTTAGTTCTTGGCAGATTTTAGCTATTTTAGGACAAGTCAAGCAATCATCACACAATTCAAGCAAGCACGCAAAGAGTATTTTGGCAGCGGAAAGTAAAGCATGCAACTTGCAAGAATGTAAAGAGAAGGGTTTGGAGAATTCAAACGCAATTGGAGACACAGATGTTTTTCCCGTGGTTCGGATAGGTGGTGCTATCCTACATCCACGTTGATGGAGACTTCAACCCACAAAGGGTAACGGTTGCGAGAGTCCACACAGGGCTCCACCCACAAAGGGTAACGGTTGCGCGAGTCCACACAGGCTCCACCCATGAAGGGTCCACGAAGAAGCAACCACCCACAAAGGGTCCACGAAGAAGCAACCTTGTCTATCCCACCATGGCCATCGCCCACACAGGACTTGCCTCACTAGCGGTAGATCTTCACGAAGTAGGCGATCTCCTTGCCCTTACAAACTCCTTGGTTCAACTCCACAATCTTGTCGGAGGCTCCCAAGTGACACCTAGCCAATCTAGGAGACACCACTCTCCAAGAAGTAACAAATGGTGTGTAGGTAATGAACTCCTTGCTCTTGTGCTTCAAATGATAGTCTTCCCAACACTCAACTCTCTTTCATAGGATTTGGATTTTGTGGAAAGAAGATTTGAGTGGAAAGCAACTTGGAGAGGCTAGAGATCAAGATTCATATGGTAGGAATGGAATATCTTGGTCTCAACACATGAGTAGGTGGTTCTCTCTCAGAACATATGAGTTGGAATGGTGTATGTGTTCTGATGGCTCTCTCTTCGAATGAAGAGGAGGTGGAAGGGTATATATAGCCTCCACACAAAATCCAACCGTTACACATAGTTTTTCAATCTCGGTGGGACCGAATCAACAAACTCGGTCGGACCGAAAATGTAAACCTAGTGACCGTTAGAGATTTTCGGTGGGACTGACATGTAACTCGGTAGGACCGATATGGTTAGGATTTGGGCATAACGTAATCTTGGTGAGACCGATTACACAAATTTGGTGAGACCGAATTTGGTAATTAGCTAACCAGAGAGTTGGTCAGGCAAACTTGGTGGGACCGATTTGCTCTTTTGGTGAGACCGAAAAGTTACAAAGGGGAAACACTGAATTTACATAGAAATTTCGGTGGGACCGATTCGCTCTTTCGGTGAGACCGAAAAGTTACGAAAGGGAAACAGAGAGTTTGCAATCCCATCTCGGTGAGACCGAGATCCCTATCGGTAGAACCGAATTGCTAGGGTTTGGCAGTGGCTTATGACAAGTGAAACTCGGTGGCGCCGGATAGGAAGAATCGGTAGGACCGAGTTTGGCTTAGGGTTTAGGTCATATGTGGATATGGGAAAATAGTTGAGGGTTTTGGAGCATATCACTAAGCACATGAAGCAAGAGGCTCATTAAGCAACACATCATCCCTCCTTGATAATATTGGCTTTTCCTAAAGACTCAATGTGATCTTGGATCACTAAAATATAAAATAAAGAGTCTTGAGCTTTTGAGCTTGAGCCAATCCTTTGTCCTTAGCATTTTGAGGGTTCCACTTTCACATCCATGCCATGCCAATCATTGAGCTTTCCTGAAATAATCATCTTGGAATACCATTAGCTCAATGAGCTATATGTTGTTATGAATTACCAAAACCACCTAGGGATAGTTGCACTTTCAATCTCCCCTTTTTTGGTAATTGATGACAACATACAGATTAAAGCTTCGACAAATGATAATAAGCATGAAATATATCGTCGCTTTGAGAAGTATGTGCTAAGTAAGAGCTCCCCCTAAATTTGTGCATATTTAAAATTTGCTTTGTACTGCAAATGCACAAGGAGTTAGAGTCATGGGTTACTCTTCCATGTCACATACATCTTGGTGGAGCGCTTAAAATGATAAGAATGAAATACATGCACTCATCACCAAGAATAGTGAATGATCACATAAGATAGATAAGATAATAACATTAATCAAACATTAAGTGTAGCTTATGATCAAACACATGATCATCAATGTCTCACGAGCATAGTATCTCAAGCACTCAAAAGCAAACAAGTTTGAAAAACCACCAAATAAAGCAAGAGAGAAAAGCAACACACTCTCTCTCTCTCGAAGCCTATGATCTATACATTTTTCTCCTTCTTTGGCAACAAGTTGCCAAAAAGTTTCTAGAAAATGCATAGTGCTAGATCGACGCTCAGGCTTGATCTTCAGGTGGTGGTGGAGTCTGGATCACTCCAAGAACGAAGGCTTCTGTAGATGCTGAAGTAGACGCTGGAGTTGGAGCTGAAGTAGACGCTGGAGCAGGTTGGGCTGGTGCTACGGCTAGAGCTGAGGCAGTTGCTCTTGTGTTAGGAACTGGCACTGCAGACGACCTCGTGGCACTCTGGCAAAGGCATCAGTGGTTGTCTTCCCTTTCCTCTCCTGCATATCGTCTTGAAGCTGCTCCACTGCAGTCTGAATTTCTGTCACCTTGACATTCAAGTCATAGAACTTTTGTTCCATGATTCTCTCTAGGCTTGCCTGGTTTTGAGTTAGAGTGGCTAGTCCTTTCTCAATCCGCAGGGTGGATGCAATCAGGTAATCAAGCTGCTCTTGTTTGGTTTTCAAGAAATACTCAGATGCCTCCTCTTGAGTTGGCATCTTGGCAGTTTTCTCCTTCCTTGCCTTCTCCTTCTTTGCTTGTGCTTGAACTGATGATGGCTCATTCTCAGTCATTACAACTTAATTGTCCTTAAAATCTGGACGGATGGGCAGGTGTTCCTTGTCCAATAAATATATGCCCGTGCCCATCTTGGAGTTGATGAGCTCCTGAATTTGAGGGGCATAACCACAACTCCTCTTCTGATCTGCTGCAGTCCTCTTGATAGTCTCTATTATGAGGCTCATGACCTTGAATTTCTGTGGCACATCAAATACATGTAGCAAGTTGATTGCATGGCCTCTGATCATCTTGTGATCTCCAGACTTGGGCAATAAGGTGTGCCTCAATATTCAATTGATGGTTGGCAGCCCTGACAGAAGATAATGCACTGAGCCAAATTTGAAAGTGTCAAGAGCTTCATTGGGAATTTCCTTGTACATGTTGGACATTGAGTTATGATCCATTTTCTTCTTGGCATAGATATCCAAGTCATCTGCTTCCTCCTCTGGGGCATTGATCAACTTTGCCCATTCCTCAACAGTTGATTGGTACCTCGTACCCTCAGACATCCATGTGATCCTCCCATCTGGATAAAAGTGTGCCGTGGAGTAGAATTGCATGATGAGCTCCTCGTTCCACTTTGTGAGCTTCTGCCCAACAAAGTCAGCAACTCCACAATCACTAAAGTTGTCATACACTTCAGGATAGCGTTCCTCTTTTTTTTCAAAAGTAGCACGTTTTTATAGCAATTTCGGAAACTAGCAGTGTCGATATGTTATTTGCAAAACTAGCGGCCCGTCGGTCAATGGTTGGCCGAAGTGGACCTTTTCGGCCTACGGAAGCCCGAAGACACGTCTTCGGTTAAGCCAGGCCGAAGCGTGCGCGAACTGAGCCGAAGACGGGCCTCTTCAGCCAGCCAGAGACCGAAGATGGGCCTCTTCGGCCAGCCAGCGACCGAAGAGGTCTTCGGCTTACCAGTGGCCGAAGAGTAGCGGATAAGGCCCGAGCGGCATCTTCTTTCTCCTCTCGCTGTTCTTCTTCTGTCTCTCTCGTTCCTCTCTGTACATTGCCCCCCTTGCTGATCTCTTCGTTTCTCCATCTATTTTTGAATCCAAAGCACAGAAACGGTAGATCGTAGCCATCTCCATCGGCCTACGGTCATTTTTTCCCAATGGGATAGCTATTTGTGCGTACAAGTGAGGTGGAGTCATGATGGGGTGAGGAGGAGAGGCCATGGTGGGCTGAGGAGGAGGAGGCAGTTTGGCTGGTGAGGAGGAGGTGCAGCTTCGTGCCGCCGAGGGGGTGGCGTTGGTGGTGTCTGTTGGTGCAAGTTCTTCGTGAGGTGGCCACACGCGTCGAAGGTATAATCACGCGTCACATTTTATTAGTGTTAATTGGTTTGTGTTGGCATTTTAGCGGATAGTTAGTGTAGCCGGTAACAATTTTTTCATTGCGATTAATTAGAAGGTGGCAATGTCTGACAGGTGAAAATGTCTGTATCAGTAAATTTGACTGTTTACTATGGCCCTGGTAATGTTCGATATATTGAGTTGGGGGTTGATCTTAGCGAGTTTAAAAATGGCGTCATGACACTTTCAGACCCGGACAGAGTGGACATTAGACAGTTGAAGCACTGGTTGACTACTAGTTTTGGGTTGGATTCTGAAGTATGTTCCGCCAGTATTCATGCATTGTGGACCAAATCCTGTAAAAATGTCAAGTGGGAGTTGATGCCGATAGATAGGAGCCAGCATTGGTTGACCCTGTTAAGTCGTTGCCGAGACCGAAGAATCCACCCATATGTCCTAGTGCAGCCAGTGGCGAAGGAGGAGAATACCGTACAACTCCATGTGGGGTATGAACCCGGCCAGGGTAGTCGAGTTGCTAACGAGATTCATTTATCCAGGTCACAGCCACCGGATGTGGATCCTAGCCAAACCGAGAAGGATTCAGACTACATGCTGGACAATGTTTGTGGTTATGATACTGGGCAGAATATTCAGTCGATAATATTAGCTGGTTCTGGTGTTGCTGATGGGGATGAGGAAGGCGATGAAATGCAGAGGGTGATGGAGGAAGAGAACGATGATGGATATGCAGAGGATCTGGATTCTGAAAATTCTGAGGATGAAGTGGAGGTACGGATTCCTTCTGCATGGAATCAGGACATATCCACCGGCTTTACTGTGAACGATGGCCATGAGACTCCATGGCAATATAATCTGAACCAAGTCCAGATAGGGGCTATGTTTGATACAAAGAAAAAATTGAAGTATGCAGTGATAAAGTGGGCTATGTCTACTCAGAGGGTTTTCCGGACAGACAGATCAAACCCAACAAACTATACCATGAAGTGTGTTGAAACAGGTTGTCCTGCGAAGGTGCACGGGCACGTGCCGAAGTATAACATCCACTGGGTTGTCACGAATGTGGTCCCACATAATTGTGTGAGGAAAAACTTGTTGGTTCGTCATCCAAACCTGACTTCAACTCTCATTGCGCAATTCATGTATACTGAGATAGTGAAGAAAAAAGATATGGAAGCAAAACACATTCAGACAGCAGTGAAGGTCAGATGAAATTATGACATTCGTTATGGGAAGGCTTGGAGGGCTAAGCAGAAGGCTATGGAGGAAAGGTTTGGGACGTTCTTTGACTCATATGATAATGTTGTCCGTCTCCTGGATGTACTGAAGGAGAGGAATCCTGGCACTTATGTTAACGTACAACATACAAGGTTGCTGAGTATACCAGGTTTCAAGGTGTTGAAACGAGTATTCTTCTCTTTCGCTATGTGCATTGAAGCTTTCCGGCATTGTCCTCCTGTGATGTTTGTGGATGGTACATTCCTGACTGGTCAGTACAAAGGGCAAATCCTGACTGCCATTGGCGTGGATGGAAACAATCAAATCATTCCACTTGCCATGGCATTTGTGGAGGGTGAGAACTTTCTGAGCTGGGTGTGGTTCTTTCGGCAAGTGAAAATTGCCATTGTGAAGGATCGACCAAACGTGTGTGTCATTCATGATAGGTATGCTGGTATATTGAAGGCCGTGAAGACATTAAGGAATCCAACAGTAGACGAACCAACACCTTGGAAGGATTTGCAAAGCTGGTGGTGCATGCGTCATCTTGGGGCTAACTTTTTCTCACAGTTTAAGAACAAGCGGTTGATGAACTTGTTTAAAAAATTGTGCAAGCAGAACCAGGAGCGTAAATACCAATTTATTTGGTCAAAACTTGATGAGTTTACTAAGAAGCAGGTCCGTGCCAGGAAGAAAATGGAAAAGGACCAACAACAATTAGCAACACTCATGGTGGAGCTAGAGGAGCCAGTTGGTCTCTGTGACTTGCCAGCAATTGACCCTCCTAATACTAAGAGAAAGAAGGGGAGGGCAATAAAGGATTTTTCAGAGTGGATAGAGAAAGAGCCTCCCGTGAATTGGTCTTTGTTGCATGACACCCATGGAGCTAGGTATGGCCACATGACAGCCAACCTTGCAGAGGTGTATAACTTTGTACTCAGAGGGAATAGAGTATTGCCACTCACAGCTATTGTGGAGGCTGTATTCCATGGCACTTTGAGATATTCAAGAGACCGACACGAGTTAGCAAAGAAGCATATTATAGATAATCAGAACACACCTTACTGTAGCAGTGTCATGGAGTATATGGCAGAGAAGATAGAGAAAGCAAAGAAGCACATTGTGAGACTCGTAGGTAATCAGGAAAGGAGGTATGAGGTTCAGCTACCTACCGATGGTTTTGGTTCTGCGAATGAGGTGAAGACGCATGAGGTAAAAATTGGAACGGAATTTTATCCAACGTGTGAGTGTACATGCAACAAACCAAAGTTGTTGCACCTGCCTTGCTCACATGTGTTGGCTGCCTGTGGCTAGATTGAGTTGGCTGCCATCTCCTTTGTGTCGCCATACTACTTAAAAGAGGCTGTACTGAACACATGGACCGGTGAGATGACAGGGTTTAGAGTCGTTGGCAATTTCAACAAGGTTAACGACGGTGAGAGAGTATACATCCCGGATCCAGAACTTCGGCGAACAAGCAGGGGTCGACGTAAGGCCCGTCGAATCCGAAATGATATGGACCAATCTGAAGCTGGTGGAGCAACCAGACAATGTTTGCTATGCGCGACTTATGGGCATAGGATGAAATATTGTCCTGACCTGAACAAAGATGGTGCTTCCACATCGACGAGTGCTTCCACATCGACGGCTGCAACAACAGGAGCAAGAGGCGGACGTGGTCGTGGCAGTCGAGGCCGAAGGGGAGGACGAGGAAGGAATAACTCAGAAGCTATATAATGTGGGGGAGAATGTTTTAATTTGTAATATCGTCTGGACTATGTTTTATTTTGCAATGTCTGAACTATGTATTAATTTGTAATGTCGGCTACTTTGTATGTCCGAACTATGTATTAATTTGTAATGTCGACTGAACTATGTTTTACTTTGTATGTTTGAACTATGTATTAATTTGCAATGTCTGGACTATGTTTTGATTGCAGATATGTCTTTGTATCCGTTGCTTAATGGTACGATTGATAAAGGTCACTGGGCTGCACTTATGCAAGGGGGCAAGAACTTAGACGTTTTGGTCACTCGCACCCCGAAGACTAACTGGATGATACACCCTTCATGGGTTGATAGGTATTGATACATATAGTGCCTTACATGTTTGACATAGGTATTGAAACATATAATTACTTACTTTTCATGCTACATTCTCTTTTTTTGTAGGTTAAGTTGGGCTGGACTTCTACCCTTGGCACGGCTGGTTGAGGGTATGTTGGAAGAGTGGGTTGACCATCCGAACTTGGATGAGGCAGGTGAACCAATGCAGTTGAAAAAGAGGCAAGTGAAACGATTCTCTTACGACAGGTCACTCCTTACTTGCTTAGTAGATAGATGGAGACCAGAGACACACACCTTTCACTTTCCTTGGGGAGAGATGGCGCCTACTTTACAGGATGTCTCCTACTTGTTGGGATTACCTTTGGCCGGTGATGCCATAGGTCCTTTAGAGGCAGAACCTGGCTGGCTTGCAAATATGCAGGCCCGTTTTCTAGCTGCGGTGCCAACTGCTACGGGCTTAAACGATGATCCTCACGGGCCACGTTTTAGGTGGTTGAGCCAGTTTCAGGTAACCTTCGTGGCCACATGACTATGTTTTTTTAGTTACCAATAGTACATCGTTCACACAATTGTATGTTTTCTATGTAGATTGTCTCATTAGGATACCCCGCAGTAGATTTGTCAGACGCACAGATTGATCGATCCCTATAGGCATATATTCTATGGTTGTTCGGCAAAACGATGTTCACGGAGAACCATGTGACCACTGTTGATGCACGATTCATCGGTATTGCACGAGAGATAGCTGACGCACGTTGCCCTGCGGATATTGTCCAGAGGAGTTTTGGTTCTGCCGTGTTAGCAGCTACGTATAGAGGCTTGTGCAAAGGTTGCTTATTGAAGTCTAGAAAGTCAGGTCTGGTTGGATGTCCACTATTGTTGCAGCTCTGGTCTTACGAGAGATTCCCTATTGGACGACCCTATGTCTCCATTGACACACCGTTTGGGTTGGAGGACATGGCAGGGGCTTACGTGCCTGCTATCGGCGACTTGCCTACTATGGGATCTGTTTGGGCACGGAGAGAGGTAGTTTTAAATTATGTAATTCGTTCGATTATTTTTGCCGTGCAATAGTATTACTAATGTAAATTTGTTGTCATGTACAGAGACAGTTTGCACATACCCAGGTGAAGGGCTGCTACCCGTTCTTCACGGTGCAGTTTGATAGTTTGCACGAGGATCAAGTTATCTGGGAGCCCTACTTGTATCAGACTATAACATCTAGGTATCCAGTTGGGATCTCTGCCTTATGCACTAGAGATCGGCACTACTGGATGACCAAGGCAAAGTTGGTGTTCGACGTGACGGTTGAGGAGATGGCTCTTCATAGGGTGATGAGACAGTTTGGTCTATGTCAAGAGCCTGCAATTCCAGATATTCCATGGATACCAGACCACGTTCACAAGTAAGTAATAATATTAAAGTTGTCAGCACTACATTCAGAATATATCTAACCATGCAACGCGCATGTCAATCTGATTAATCTGTCAATCTCAGGTACAGTCGCGTAGGAGGAAACAAGTCCATGGCTGTTTGGCTTCAGAGCATTAGCCCTTACGTTCAAGAATGGACTATGGCACCGACAAATATCTGGAATGAGGTTGGACCCTTTGACTGGGACAAGTTTGGGTTGTATTTACAAACTTACCGGCATACAACGAGGATCTACTTGGTTCCATCAGCTGCTCCTGATCAGATTAAAGCCCCTCTGACCAGCGATATGTACCCAACTACCTCTGTTGTGGGAACGAGACACCACGCGGTACGTGTCATGCTTCTCATATGTGTAGTTCTATCATAACCTTATCATATACAATGGGTTAACTCTTCATGTGCAGAGTGACTTGACAGTCCAGGCGCGAGAGGAGGTTTCCGCTTTAATGCGGCAGGTTGAGAGGGGGGATACTATCCCACAGCCAGAGCATCTCTCATGGTTGAGGCGTATGGATGAGAAGTTAAGAGGGATTTACGCATCACTTACATGTAGACGATCTACGGATGTTGTCATTCCTCGTCCCGCACATCGGCCCCCACGTCCCTCTGTCCATCGTTCAGAACCACGACACTCTGTGCAGCGTTCAGAACCACGACACTCCGTGCAGCAACCACGCCTCTCTGTGCATCAACCATCTCCTTCACAACTAGGGAGCTCTTCCTGGAATTAGCCATCGCCTTCTCAACCAGGCACCTCTTCCTGGTCTCATCAAATGGAACTAGGTAACACTACTTTGTACATTCTTTTCAACATTGTAGGTTCGCAAATTAATTTTACCCGTTTTACTATATTGTGGTAGGCAACCAGTCGCGACAGTTCATGCATTCAGTGCAATCACCGATACTTAGTGGTGCTGGATGTGGATTAGAGGGCTATGGCGATGACGATGACCAAGCTGAAAACATTTATGACTTCTCGCACACGGTGTTTCACACTCCACCACCACCACCGTCGCAGGAGACACAGACAGTGATAGACGAGGTTATCTATGGTCGTGGTTTTTGTGAGCATCGTCCACCGCCTCAGCGCTTATCGCCTTCCGGCCCTCGCCCGAGGAAGACCCAGATTCGTCGTCGACCCCCGCAGTGATATGATTATCTATGTATGAGTCATTATCTATGTTAGTTTCAGACTATTCGCATACGTGAGTCAGTATTTATGTATGAGACATGCTTCATGTATGTGTTACTATTGCACTTGCTTCTATCTGATAAGGAGACATATATCGTTTTATGTATGCGAGAGACATATTACTATTAATTCGCATTGTTATTCCAGTTACATTTTCAAAGAGACTACAACCGATAATTAAGATACAAGCACATCTAAATTAAACGGTGCGGTTGAACTTAATAAATACAGCTTACATACTACAAAATGAAATTAACGTAGAACATAATGCCCTACTTGTTGAGGTACAACTGGAATACAGCTTACATACTACATGAAGTCATCATCGTCATTCTCCGTTGATGCAGAACTCTTGCCCTTCGACGATGCAGAACTCTTGCCCTTCGTGGATGCAGAACTCTTGCCCTTCGACGATGCAGAACTCTTGCCCTTCGTGGATGCAGAACTCTTGCCCTTTGATGATGCAGAACTCTTGCCCTTCGATGATGCGGAACCCGGGAGCGGCGGCATGAAGATATCATCTTCGTCCTCGCTCTCCTCAGTCCAACAAAATGGATGCTTTTCTAAAGTCCTTCTAAAAGTTTCACTCTTCGGATCCACTACCTTCTTCCACCTTTTATTCAACCTAAGAAGTTCTTTACGTACCTCCGCATAAGTCCTTTCAGGCCACCCAGCCCTACGTAATTGGTGAGCCAACTCATTCATTATGGTGTCACTACCGGTGAGTTCTTCCCATGGAACTATCCTATTGTCCATCCTGAAATCGGTAGCTAGCCTCAGAAGAGTGCTGCTCATCTCAGGGTGAAAACTACGATCGAAAGGATAATGGGACATCTCGACTACACTGGACTGCTTATTCACCTCCGGGTCAAGGGGGTTTTATAGGTAGAGAGGAGAGAAAATGGTGGGAAGGAACGACTGGGGTATGGTGGGAAAGGGTTGGCGGGAACATATGGCGGGAAAGGGTTGGCGGGAAACGGGTGGCGGGAACATATGGCGGGAAAGGGTTGGCGGGAAACGGGTGGCGTGAACATATGGCGGGAAAGGGTTGGCGGGAACATATGGAGGGGAAAGAGTTGGCGGGAAAATATTTACGGAAAGGGCTGTGCAATTTTTTTTCATTGCAAAATGGTTACACAACATTCGTAAGTCATAATAAAAAACCCTTTTCGGCCTACAGTAAGCAGAAGAGCGCGACCATGCAACTTCGGTCACCTGTTCACGGGAAAAGGTGGGGCCCGGGGACTCTTCGGCCTACGGTTGACCAAAGAGTGCTCTTCGGCCTATGGGAAGCTGAAGAGTCCTTTTCGGCCTAGTTGGGGCACACTTCGGCCAACGGGAGGCAGAAGTGCCCTCTTCGGTCAACGGCTGGCCGAAGAGCCACTCTTCGGCCAATGGGAGGCCGACGGGGTGCTAATTTTGCAAATAACTTGTTAGCACTGCTAATTTCCGAAATTGCTGTAAAAACCATGCTAGTTTTGAAAAAAACCATTTTCCTTCATGTACTCCCAATCGACCCATCTCATGTCACTGACTATTGGCTTCTTGTCTAGCAGCACTGTCTCATAAAAATCTTGCTGCTCCTTGGTGTGAAACCTGTAATCCACACAGTCCTTCTCCTTGAAGCATACGGATCTGCTTCTCTCCACTTCCTCAGCCCTGAGTCTCTCCTGAGCTTCATATCCTCAGCCACAGGATGAGCATCGTTGTGGTCTGGGATCTTGGGCTTGAGCTTTCTCAGAATTTGCTCTTCATCCTCTTCTTCAGCAACAGTCTCAGGCACTGGGGCCTTGTTCTTCTCAGCTGTAGGAATGCTCCTTGTATTCCTCTTTGGTGCAGACTTGGGCTTGGAGGCAGCTTTGGGTGCTTCTTTGGGCTTAGATGCAGCAGCCCCTGTCCTGATAGCATCACCCATAAGCTTAGGTGCTTTAGGTGCTGGTGCAGCAACCTCTTCTTCCTCTTCCTCTTCCATAATGGAAGCCTTTCCAAGCACTCTGGCTACGGTCTTCTTGACCCTTTCCTTCCTCTTCTTGCCTTCTGCAGCAACTGGCTCTTTGGGTGCAGGCTTTTCAGTTGAAGCTCTAGCCTTTGACATAGGCTGCCTGCCTGCTGGCCTTTTGATCTTTAGACCTGGCTTTGTGCCTTGAGCTGGCTCAACTCTCTTTGATGTGGCCTCTTCTTCTGCCACATAATCTTCATCTTCAGAATCAGAAGTTCTCTTCTTCCTTTGTCTAGTGGCATCTTTTGGCAGATTGCTTGGGGTACTTCTGCTGCCATCATCTGAAGAGCTGGAGGGGCTAGTGCCCTCACTCATCTGCACTTGCTCTTCTGACATGTTTTGGCTATCACTCTGATCAGACATGCTGCAAACTCTGACTGCTGACCCTGTGAATAGTTTATAGATGAGGTAGAATGGATGAGCATCACAAAATGCAGAGATTTTTGCAAAAGAATGATCCAAAAACTTAGTTTTAGTTTTCCACTGAAATCATCTCGGATCTACCGATTTCAAACTCGGTGATACCGAAGCAGTTGTGGAACCTAAACTAGTGAACTCGGTTGGACCGAGTCACAGTTTGGTGGCACCGAGACTGCTAGGGTTTCACAGAATTCCAAAATCGGTCACACTGATAAGTAATTCTCGGTCAGACCGAGTCTCACTTGTGCAATGGCATAAGCCAAATCAGTGGGACCGAGTTTTTCAACTCGGTGGGTCCGAGATGGTTTCGGCGGAAACTTAACCCTAAAATTTTCGAATCAAACCTAATCTACGAGCGTATTGACTGGATAGGAGTGTTTCAATCGTGGCAAGAATCATGATGATCACAATGTGCTAAGAATCGGATTGGGGAATAGCACAAAGATCGAATCCATACCCTAGTTCGGCGGAGACTCGCTACAGCGGCAACGGCGGGGCAGAATTCCCGTTGACGGCGACGGAGACCAGCGACTGGAGGCGGCTGGCGGCGAGGAGACGATCCAGAGACCACGTTGGCAGAGCAGGCTATCGCGCAGGCGAAGGAGTTCGGAGAAATTTCCAAATTTTGCCCGTGACTATATATAGCCCGACCCTGTCGGTGTGACCGAGTGGAACAACTCGGTGGCACCGAGATTCATAACTGCAAGCAGTTACTGAAACTCGGTGTGACCGAAAGGTTCAAATCGGTTGCACCGAGATCGAAAACCTAGATCAACTTAGTGATCTCGGTAGGACCGAAAGTGGGGTATCGGTCAGACCGAGAATCATAAAGAGGTTTTGAAAGTTTAAGTCTATGACGAATCGGGGACTCCGAGCGCTCCTCACACAGAGTGGTTCGAATCTGACTTGATCAAATTTTGTGATGCAGCATGAATAGAGTTTGAGACGAGAAAAGCATAGATAGCTAGAGGAGGTTCTTAGGCATTCTTGTCCATCCACTTGGCAAAAGAAAATAAAACCAAACAATCAAAACAACAAGTGGATGTCCTCGAATGAGTAAAATATGCAACCAGCATGCTCACACAATAAGATGGCAAATGAAATATGTGACAAGTCATGCACAACCAATTCTAGCAACTATCAAGCAATTTTCGATGACTAGGTCATCTATATATGAGTATATTGACTTAGGAGTCAAGTGAGAACACTTGATCATAGGTCATACTCATCGTTTAAGCTCAAGTGGGGTTATCACTTTTACATAAAGCATTGCTGTGTTCACATCTTTAGAGTTTCTTTAGCTCAAGTCTTAGAGTAAAGCTCCCCCTAGATGTGATATCCCCCCTAAGAGGGATGAACTAACCTTGGATTTTGTCGATGATGACTTCATGTAGATGTTGAAGATGTGGATGCTCAATGTTGATGTAGATCACTTGGAGCTATCCATTTGAGTGAATTGCACTTTCAATACCTATATGGGTTAGTCCCACAAGGAACAAATAAGGATATCCATAGACATAGAGTGATGCACACACAAGATGATGTCCATGAAAACTTTTAGGTTACCTTGTCCCTTGTCTTACCAACAAGAGGGTTTGTGACTCCTTGAACTAGTGCAAGATGTGGAAGTTGATTGCACTTGTTCTTGCCAAAATGATAAGAGTGAAGTATGTTGGAAGAGTCACCCTCAAGAACTCTCTAGTTCTTCTTCTTTTGGATCCACACCATCTTGATGGGAATCCTTGAAGTTGTAGTCGTACTTGATGAAGTGGAACTTGAAGTAGTCTTGGGAATCCACTTGACTAAGGTCTTAGGAGCTTCTTCAAATGCGTCAAT